GTTGTTGTTGTTTTTTGAATTTTGCATAGTCTTTGCTTAAGGAGTCCAGATCTTCAGCTTTATCCTCCAGTCTTGATAGTCTGTTTTTACATTTCATTCATTCTGCTTGTGAGACTTTCTTTTCAAATTTGCTTTTCAAATTATGAATTGTTTTTGATATTTCATTAAGGAGAATATTTGTATATTCTTGGGCTTCCATCAAAAGTTTATGCCTTTCCTCCTTGAGTTGTTTGCATTTTCTCAAACCTCTTTGATCATGTTTATAATTGTTGTTTTAAATTTTGTGTCCCAGGGTTCTAAAGTGTGGTTCTCAAAGAAGTGCACTTCTATAGGATTTGTGGGCTTTGTTGGAGACATATTTTCCTGGGTTTTCATATTGTTTGTGTTTTTGCATTACCATCTGGACATATGCCATTTGGTTGTTCATTGTTGGTTATGTGTTCAAGAGGAACCTCGACTCTGCTTTTTTAATTTTGGTTCTGTTAATTTTATGTAGCTTAGTTTCTTTTTGTTTAAGAGTGGAAGACAAATTGGTGGGTATTTCAAATTCTTGCTGTGTAGTAGACTGGTCAGAGTCCTGAGTGAACAGGTCTGTCTGCCTGATTGGGATGCTGAGAAGTTGGTCATGAGGGGATTGCCAGGGGCGACATAGGGATCTGTGGTATGGTGTTTAGTTAATCAGGTTTGGGAAGCTAGGCCTGGGACCTGAGATGAAGGATTTTGAGCCCGCTTGTGACAGAGGCCAGCAAAGGAAGGATGGATGAGGGAAATGGGGTGGGGAGGCAGTGAGCTGGATCTCACTTACCAGAATCCTGTCTGAGCAGGTCTGTCTGCTTGATCAGGAAGCTGGGAATTTGGGGTGAGGGGACTGCCTGGGTGAGGACTTAGGGATCTATGGTAAGGTGTTTAGTTAATCAGGTTTGGGAAGATAGTCCTGGGACTTGAGGTGAAGGAATTGGAGCCCATCTGTGAGAGAAGCCAGCGGGGGACAGGGGGTGGATGAAAGAAATGGTGTAGCTAGTCCTCCTGAGGTGAAGAAATTGGAGCCCACCTGTGAGAGCAGCCTGCAGGTGGGTGGGGGTAGTTGAGAGAAACCGGGTAGAGAGGCAGTGAGCTGGAATTGACTTACCAGAGTCCTGGCTGAGCAGGTTTGTCTGCCTGATCTGGAGGCTGGGAATTTGGCAGTGAAGGGACTGCCTGTGTGAGGACTTAGGGATCTATGGTAGGGTGTTTGGTTAATCTCATTTTGGAAGTTAGTCCTATTGTGCCATTTTCTATCTAATATTCTTCCTCAGTCCTCTAGATTGGATCGTGGTCCCAAAACACTGTCTCTTCATAAACTTCTTTCCTGAAGGGAATTGTGTCAGCTGTCCTTTTCCTGACTGAATGCTGTTGCTTTACCATCTCTTTTTTGTTACATTTAACCGAGACAGTGACTTTTGAGTCCTATAGCAAGTGGATGATCTTAATCATTAAGGGACTTGTGTGTCCCAGAGATACATTTATACACTTATGGGTAACTTGGCTGACAAGTTAGGATAAACATAAGATGCCAATCTATATCCTCCCACTCCTGTGCCAATATGCACATGATGCCACTGTACCATATTAATGGTGTCAGGTGAACAGAGCTCTTCGGTGAGATCTTATAAAGGGCTTACTGATTATTGAGGAAAACTTGGATGCTGGGTGTGATGAAGGCCATGGTGCCTGTGTAGGTCAAGTTGGCTGATAGAGAGAGGAGTGATTTCCCCATGAGAAATGGATAACTGGGAAGTTCTGGCATGTGACTGACCACATCGAGGCAGAAAAGGAGTCATTCTTAAATGAAGAGAGTTGAGATAGGAAAGAAATGGGGGAACCGAAACCACTGCAAAGTAAGGTTCAAACTCTGAGTAATATTGTGCAGCCAGGGCTGTCTCACTAACAGTTGCACTCTTAGTGGTCTATTAGGACTTTGTCATTTGTTGGTGTGGGAGAGAATATGAAGTGGTGCAGAGAATGTTCTGTCCAGGGAGAGAATTCAGCACAAGCAGATTCCCAGAGCTGAGCAAATTGAGATTCTCTGCTTTTGCCTGTGTCTGTGTTCATCTGAATGTAGTTATGTGTAATGGTCTCCAGGTGGTTTTGGATGCCAGAGGTCAATGTTGAGTGACTCTGTATGTCATTTTCCTTGGTTTTTGAATTTAGAAATTTTATTTATTAATGTTACATGTGCATGTGTATATCATTTGTGTGGAGAGGCTCACATTTGCCATTATACATGTGTGTAGACTGAGGACAAGAGTGGAGTCAGTTCTCTCCTTCCACTTTTATGTGGGTTTTGTGGATTTTACTGAATTTGCCAGGCTTGCTGGGCAAGTGCCTTTTACTCGCTGAGCCATCTTGCTGGCCCCTTCCACTTTCTTTTTGAAGACAGGCTCTCTCACTGATCAAGGAGTTCACCAATCCCCTTAGCCTAGCAGACCAGCATGCTCTAGGCATCCTATAGTCTTGATCTCCTCATCTCTGGAACTGGAGGAATGTGTGCTGTGACCAGCTTTTTGCTTAGTCCATGGAATCAAGTTTCTTGTCTTTATGTGATGAACAGTTTACAAGTGAGCCATTTCCTCGACATCAAATTGAGGTTTATTCAGCATGTTATCTGATGTGCTGAAATTGGAATTGTGTTCATTAGAGGAAGAGATGTTTTCTGTCTTATTAACAGGAGAGTAAAAGTCCCTGATTGAAGGGTCCCCATGGGAACACTCATTCCTTATGGCTTATGGCTTTAATACAAATGGAAATCTGGCTTATGTGGCCAGCATCTCATCAAACTGCTTTCAACCAAAGAGTGAGGAGATGCAGGAAGCTGAAGTTGTAGTTACATTTGTGCATTAGTCTTTTGAAGGGTGATAAGTGCAGCAAGATAAGAAGGATCCATTGGAAATGGTTCTGAGGGGATGTCTGTTAACTGAGTCCATTAAAATTTTTTTATTAATGTGTGTGA